TATTGTTTCTCTTTTGTTGATAATTACTTTTTTCCTGTATTATCACTAGTATTTACTTTTCTTTCCCGTATTTTAGTTGAATTTACCTCATTGTCTGGGTAATGATTACTTCTGGTTTATGAAGGTAATCAGTTATCCTAGTTTAGCATTTCTTCACATGTGAAATGTGATGCTTCCCTTTTTTCATAATTATCTTAGGTAATAATTTATTTTTCCTTTTTTCTCATAATTTCCTTTTCATCTCAGGACATAATGGATAATGAAAGAGATGTTTGTGTGTTTATTAGGTAATATTTCTCTCCAGTGAACTAGACACAGAGAAGCTTTGTTAGCTATGGTTAAGTGGTACAAAACAAATAATCAGGTGTCTTTGGAGAATTCTGGACTGCTAGATGGCTGTCTTCTCCTTTGTTTCCCAGCTTATTATGAAATTTATCTGGATTTCAATAACATTATAGACAAGTAGTCAGAAACCACAATCACATCACAGCTGTTAAATAGCTCCTGCTATTCTTTTCTCATCTTCCCTTAGGAATCTTCTTTTACATTATTTGCTTGAGTTAGAGTGTGTGTGTGTGTGTGTGTGTGTGTGTGTGTGTGTGTGTGTGTGTGTGTGTAGGCAATAAAAAAGTTATATTTCTAGATTCTTTTAAGTCAATGACTTGTTCAAACTTCAGGGTGGTAGGATCAGAATTTTTTCCATAAATCTGAAAATTTTTCCATGAAACTGACTTTGAGAGTAGAAATATTTTAATAAGAATTTGAAAATTATGGATGATCCAAGGGAGAGCTATAAACTTGAGAGCTCGGGTTCTCTGGTTGAAAGACAACATGTAAATGGAGCTTTGAGCTAAAACTTGAGGCTGGATAGTCAATTAATTGCTCTAAGTGGAGGTAAAAAAAAATTCTTAAATAAGAAAGCGCTTGGCACTTAGAAGGAGTAGGTAATTTAATTTGGCTAAATGCAGAGTGCATGAAAAAAGATGATGTTGGATGCCATTGAGTCCCTTCTGACTCTTAGTGACAACAGTTAGAATACTGTTGAGTTTTATTTTGTTGCAGTATGCCAAGGGAAAAGCTATCTCAGCCTCGAAGACCCTTTTGTAGCAACTCAGAAATATTAGGAGCCCTGGTGGCATAGTGTAGAGTGTGTTGAATTGTTGCTGTTGATTGCCATTGAGTCGAACAGGACTCATAGCGACCCTATGAACAAAAGACCTGAAGGCCTTTCTATAAATATCAACATTTATCAAAGTTCATAGAGGTTCCAGAGGTATGTTGTTTAGGAATTCGATGACACTTCTGCTGAAAAACAGTGTGAAGCCACCAGGGGCTCCAAAGGAGACAATTCACAGCCCCTGAAACCCACTGGATGGTTGTAGGCTCAACTCAATGCCTATAGATTTAGTTGTTTCTGGAGTCAATAAATAGTGGAGGCTTAACCTGAGATGACTGTATTTGAAAGTAGATGTGAGAAAATCTCAAAGGAAATTAAAAAGACCTGGAAACTGATTTGATTTGGAAAATAAAAAAGATGAACATGAAGAAGACTCAAAAGAGATAAGGTGGTAAAATTAATAGGTTGGGTGTGTTTTATACCAAGTTTGGCAGTAAGACATTGTTAAAATTGATTTGTAGAGGTTTGTTCAGGGATTTATGAGCAGAAATGTGAGAAATCTCGGTTTTCTGAGAGCCATTTTCCTAAAAATGACAGTTGTTATCACAGTGTTGAGTTATGAGGGAAAAAGAAAAATACTATCATCAAACTTAGGTGAATTTAAGAAATTATAGAAGCCAGTGATATTGGGAATATACACAAAGAAGTGAACAGGGTAGAAAGTATAAGTAGAATCTAGATTATGGATTAACCTTTAAATTTGGTTGTGTTTGAAGAACTACTAGTTGGTTGTTGTGAAGAAACTTCAAAGGCTGAAGGAGAGAATAGACATTGTATGGACGTGTTACTAATTGAGAATTATTAAAACATTTTCAGATTAGGGGCAGAGGTTTTGTGGGAAGTAGAGTATGAAGGTTCAAGATATTTGATGGAATAAGGTCCAGAAATAAGTATAGATAGATGTAAGTAAGATTAAATGTCCTGACACAAAGAATGGATATGGGAGAGGGAGAAAAGTGCTTTATGTTAATTGGAAAGGTAGAGTGTGAATGATAGAATCCATGAGGTACAACAGAAAATCACTGGTGTAAATCACACCAGAAACCCTCTCTCTGAGAAGCATGAGGCCAGTCATTTTTATGAAGTTAGATTGACAAGATTTAGTCATGAAGCTGCAAGAATTTCTTTCAAATTACTGAATTATACAATGTGATAAGAAATTGATTAGAACTGAATAAGCAACTTGTCAAGGCCTTGACAAAAGGACATGTATTTTTGTTAGTGAAATGAGTTCATAAATACATTAGTCTTTTCATACAGTGAAATGTACGGGAGTTCTGTATAAGAGACATAATGAATAATCTATGTTGATTTTTAACTTTTATGAAAAGGAATTTGTTGTTATCATTTGGGTGTTTGAAGTTCTGCATATTACATTTGGGCAAGTTCTCATTGTCTGAAAATTAAACTGGGCAGAGTTAAAGTAAGTTGCTATTGTACAAAGCCATCTATGCAATTTTTAAATATTACTTACTGCCCTAATTTGTTCATACAGCTTCTTAGATGAGCTATTATGACTATCACCAATTTTAAAAAAGGACAAGTGATAGCACAATTAAGCAATATTTTCAGATAAGATAGAAATAAATGCCTTTGAGCCTCACATACTGATAGCCTGTTTCTGTGACCTTCATAAATTTGTTATTTCTATGATGGGTTTTTGAAGCAGGAGTGGCATCCACTTCCTAAACAACATGCCTCCGGAAACTCTATGAACTTTGATAAATGTCAATAGTTGTAGAGGGGCTTCAGGCCTTTTGTTTATAGGGTCACTATGAGGCGTACTTGACTCAAAGGCAATCAACAACAACAATGATGGGTTTAATTATTTTTAAATAACAAAAGGAAATAAGAGAAACTTCTTTTTTTCCTCCTCTAATTAGAAGTTTGTACAACACTCCAAATGTAAATCTTTGCTTCTTTAGAAACTGGGTTTGTTGTTGTTGTTGCTGCTGCTGCTGCTTTAGCCATAGAAACAAAAGAAGAAAAATTATATGAAAATTCTGGAGCTAATTTTCTTATTTCTTGGTATTTAGTAAAATCATAATTGTCGTTCTAGTAGTGAAAGAGAAAAAGATGTCCCAAACTGTGCATTATTACCAGTAAAAAAAGCTCATCTTTGTATGATTTCCCTAAAGATATTTCTACTTCATAATGTTTTTCAGAATCCTCAGTTAGTAGCAGCTCTCCAGGGTCTGGTCCCAGTTCACCAAACAACGGGCCAACTGGAAATGTCACGGAAAGTGAGGCCCCTGTTCTGCCACCTGCTCCTCACACTGAGGTAAGACCTTCACTATTTTGATGTATGTTGTTATTGTTGTGTACCATCGAGTCAGAACCAACCCACAGCTCACCCTCCAGTGGGTTTTCAGAGGCAGTTAATCACACGGGAGGAGATGCCCGTCTTTCTGCTGTAGAGCACCTGGTGGTCTTGAACTGCATGCCTTCCGGGCTTCAGCGCAGCTTCTTGCCACTAGGCCATTCATTAAGGGTGCATTGATGGTCTAGTGGTAAGAAGGTACCATGCCACCCTAAAGGCGGGCAGTTAATCCAACTGCTCCATGGGAGAAAGATGGACAGACAGTCGCAAAGCAACTTAAAGCCTCTGAAAATCCACTGGAGGGTCAACTGTGAGCCACTTACTTGCTCAGTCTTTTTCACTAAAAAGTAATATTTTCTTGAGTGAAAGCTAAGACCAATAAATTTAAATTCTTTTACTTATGGGTTTATAGTGTGTGAAATTGAATAAGCTTGAACTTATCAATAAGGTTTAAGTGACAATCAAAATTTGAACAATATCTAAATTTAATACTTATTTAAAGCAGTCTTAGTGATGCTAATTATACATGGCTGAGCAGTCCTGGGTTTTTCAGATGAGCTAGACCACTTAGTAAGTAAAAGTAACTTAATACAAACATCTCAGATACACAGAAAGGGTGAGTTGTAGTCATTTTACCTAAAATTTGATGAAACATTCCTGAATATAGTTGAGGGTTACAGAGTCCCACTGAATGTTTAAGGAGGATGTGATAGGTACTATGCATTTTGCCTGGAAAAATAAAAAAGTAGTATGAAGTCAGTTCTGTCCTTGCAGAATGATTCAGCCAATAATACAACACTGCAAGGTTAGTTCTGTTCTGTGGTAATGGGGACTGGGACAGGTGTGTCAGAGACAGTGAGATTGGTTCAGGATAATGTAGGGTTCAGAGATACTGTTCATAGGATCGCTATGAGTTGTAGGCAGCTACATGGTACATGCAAACAACAACAAATAAATCCTAGAAGTACAAAAATACTGGCTTTGTGGTTTCTGTATCAGGCTATTATGCAAAGGCAACAACAGTCTGAAATGGTTGTTCTTGTGGAATGAACTGTTTTGACATAACACTTGTTACCTTCTTCACAAGACTTCACTCTGTACAGAGAGGCTGACATGGTGACTTCTCATATATAACTGTGACATATTCCTTCCTTTAGTTTTTATATGAAGCCATGGCATCCTTGAGAATTTCTGAGTCTTGACCATATCTATACTTTTTCTACCATGTGCTTCTTCAAACTTTACTTGAACGCTTCCTCTTAGAGGCAACTCATTTTACTGTCTCTCAAGGCAACTCATTTGACTTTGAACAGCTGACTTTACTGATAAAAATATCTTTCTTATGTTTTGCCAGAATCTCCCAGTAATTTTATACCAATGTTATTGTTGTTGTTTTTATGTGCCATTGAGTCACTTGCAACTCAAAGCGACCTTATGTACAACAGGTCTATCCTGATCCAGTCTGACTCGGACACACCTACCCGCATTACCCACTTACTGTGTTAATCCATGTCATCCAGGGTCTTCCTCTTCTGTGCTGTCTTTCTCCCCTTCCAAGAATGATGTCCTTCTCCAAAGACTGGTCCCTCCTAGCCACGTGCCCAAAGGATGTGAGGTGGTGCTTCAAAATCCTTGCCTCCAAGTGTCCTTAGGCTATAAGTGAAGGCAGAAAACAAAAGGAATTTAAAAAGGACTAAAGCATTGGAGTCACTTTTTCTTTGAGAACATTAGCAGACTTGTTTGGGGCTTGGTGGGGTTTTTTATTAATAATTATTAATACCATTGTCATTCATATACATTGTATTTCATGCATGTACAGTGTTTTCCATACAGTCCTTCATTTATATTACAGAGATTTATTTATTTCCTCCTTTACAATCATCCCACCAACAACCACTTTTGGGAAAGCATGTAAGTTGCTACTTCATACCTCATATCCAAATATCCCTCTTTTAGAAAGCCAGGTGCTGATTTACCCATCACTATCAAAGCAGGACTCAGAGGAAACAAGCATGTTCCATTTTACTGCAACCTGATGGCTTGCTCTGGACTGGATTTTGCTTATGGATATGAATGCTGAAAATTTCAAAACTCTGTTCAACTTGGAAACTGTCACCATTCACGTCCACAAGCAAAATCCAGTCCAGAGTAAGCCATCAGGTTGTAGCAGTCAACCCTAGTTCACAGCATGTATCATTTTCTTTTCATCTTTTTGGGTTCTGCTCTACCCATCCACAGCCATCTGTGGCTAAGTGTAATTGTGTATCAGATGCAAGCCAAGAAGTCCACACTTCTCCCCCTCCCAACCCCTGTGTTCCAGATCCATTGATCTCCTCACTCAGCCAAGTCTCTCTTTACTCATAAGGCCAAGGCGAATCCACAGGCTAAGGGGTCCTCAAGACTCCCTGTTCCTGAAGCCAACAATGTGAGCATCTGCACATGCCATGCTAGGTGGGCAGCACTGAAGGACCATGTCCAAGCTCAGCCTGTTTCTTCTTTGTTATTTCCTCCCACTTCCACCCCTGTGGATCCAAGTGAGTGCTGTGAGTGAGCATAATCCAACCTCAGGTCTTGAAGGAGGAATATGATGGGCACCAACTTTATCCTCCCTCAGAGGCCACATAGCTTGTTCCAGTTATAAAAAGACAGTCTCTTCCTTTCTTTTTTTCTTTTTTCTTTTCTCCTTTCCTGCTTGCCCTTCTTTCAAATGTGAATCTTTTCAGTCAAAAACCCAGGTCCACAAATCCTTTCAAATGAAGATCTCCATAGAGCACTGGGTGGGACTCAATACTTCACCTTGACCAAGACCCAACCCCCACTATCAGATCCCGCTTTAAACAAGCTTTACTCCAGGGCCATTTTTTAATATGGATGCAATATGGATTGCATCTCAATGTCAAGAAAACCAAGATTCTTACCAGTAGATAACATCAGGATGGTTGGAGAGAAGATTAAAACTGTCAACAACTTCGTTTTACTTGGATCCACAAGGAACACCCTTGGTACCAGCAGTCAGGAAATGAGATTCATTGCACTGGGAGTATCTGCAGTTAGGGACCTCTCCAAGTTATTGAGGAATAATGATGTCAGTTTGAGGACTAAGGAGCATCTAATTCAGGCCCTTGTCTTTCTAATCACTTACTTTACATCTGAGAGCTGAACAAGGAATAGGGATGACAGAAGAAGAATTGACATCTTTGAACTATGGTGTTGGAGAAGAATGCAGAACATCCCATGGACAACCATGTGAATGAACAGATGTGTTTTGAAGAGGGGGCAGCTCGAGTGCTCTTTGGAGCCAAGAATGATGAGGTTTTGCCTCACATACTTTGGGCATTTTAGTAGGATGGGCTATTCCTTGGAGAGGAACATGATGTTGGTAAAGGTGGAGGGTTAGCAAAAGGAGAGGAAGACCCTCAACCAGGTTGATTGACACAGTCCCTGCCCCAGTGAGCGCTAGTGTGTTAGGAAATATGAAGATGACAAAAGATAGGACAGGGTTCAGCTATGAGTTGTACGCAACTCTATGGCACCTAACACCAACTCTAGGAAAGATCTTCCCTTTTGGTACTCCAAATTAATTGGCAAAAGACAGAATTGCATGCTTTCTAAATTAACAATATACAGTGTTCATTCATGTCATAATTTTTTTTCATCCCCCTCCATTATTTAAAAAAAATTGATTTGCATATAACCACCCTTACACACTACTTTTTATTCATGTACATTGTGTCCCAAACAATCAATCCCTCATATACACTGTACTACTTACAATTAACCACCACCTATCCATGTCTTTTATTACATGCCCTCCCATGACACCTTTAATCCCCTCCAAGGTCAGCCTTCCAACCTCCACCGTCCCAGTGGTAATCTCTCCTTCCCCCTTTTCTGCCCCTTTCTCATTCCCTTTTTGTTTTGTTTTAATTCGATCATTCATTAACCCACCATTTCACTCACGTACATGTGTCTACACAATCCTCCATCCACACGGTGCTTCACTGACCCATTCATTGTTGTTGTTGCTAAGTGGCATTGAGTCTCAGATGACTCATAGTGGCCCGTTCATAAGCACTGTATTTTATACAATCAGCTAGCATTGGTCTGTTTATTATTACACCATCTCTTCAATACCCCATTTAATCTTTCCCCTTGCCTTACCCCCTCCGCCCAATCTTCCCACAAAACTTTGTTATCCTAGTGATTCAATGTTTCCCATTCTTTAGAAGATAATTAGTAAGGGTATAAATACCCAAATGAGAAGTGGGGGGGGGATTGGGGATGGGCTTGGTTTTAAGGCCTCACAAAACTCAGGATATACACGACAGAGCTCAGTTCTGACCATGGAGGTTTAACATAAGAGGAAACTCTACACACAATGCTCGGCTCCCAAAAGGTCATATGTTCACTGCATGAGTGGATCGCTCCTTCTCCTCACTCCCTGAGCCCCAACAGGGCTGTCTGGAATTAAGCAGAGCAAGGAGCAAAATCTCTGAGAGGCTGTAGCCACTAATTTGTCCTTGAATGGCTTCATAATCCAAATCCACATAGCTTCAGATGATTGGTTTTGTTTAATGTGGCCTTAGTTTTACAGTGCTTCTAAATATCCAGAAAAACAAATATGTAGCTTTTCTAGAGAAAGACACCTTCATTCTAGTTTTCAAAATATCTCCTCAAATAATCTTCCGAAGAAGATGAGCCAAATAGGTGGATACTGTTTTCAGCAGTATGGCCTCCCCTTTCGAAGTTCTTCCTACGTTCTTTGTTTCTTACCATCTGTTGTCTCCAATTCACTTTTTCAATATTATTTCCAAACTATAATACTAAATGAAACATACACTTCATATCTATTTACAGCTGGAGATAGCATAGGGACTTATGTGGTGGGCTACTAACCAAAATGTCAGCAGTTCAAATCCAACCACTTCTGTACAGTAGAAAGTTAAGGCCATCTGCCTCCT